TAGTTATTTTAAAACCAATAGGAAGCCCTATCTGTTCTTGTATTCTCGGTTACCTTGGAAACAGATGTAGGGCCATGCCCTTAAACTTTCTGTTCATCCCTCCCAAGAACAGCTGATCAAAGCTGATTATACCCTTTCTTTAGTGTCTCAAATGTGGCCGTAAAAGGATATATTGAAACAATAACTTTAGAGTCAAACAATGACTTATTAATTCACGAGGGAAATTCAAACTCGCTACCATTACAATGCCGAAATTCACGAGGTGAATTCGAACATAGCCGATTACTGCATAAGCGCGAAATTTGAATATTTGGCGAAAGCGCGCTAGCGCGTTTAAGTCAAATCTTACCCTGGGGAGGAGGAGGGAGTTACTTTTCGTTCAAGGTCACTTGCTACTCAAGACACAGAATGTCGCAACTGAGAGACTGACAAAGAGTGGCGAGACCGAACGAAATTTGAATCAGTGTGAATGGTCTCGAGTGAAACTTGTTTGAATTTAACTCATTCCGTGAAACTGACAGGCAGCGCGGTTCCATATCTCAAAATGTGAAGCCGCAGCTACAAGAGCGATTTTTTGCTTGCGATGGTGATGCAATTTTCTTTAAATTTGTCGCGTCGCCAGCGCGTAGCGCAAATAATCACCCGTGTAGCCACCCTCGCGCAAGTGCTGCGATGGCGACAGCTACTACATCCTTGAAAAAATCGCGAGAAGTTCAATGAGTTGAACCTTCTTTTCTTACTCTCTCCCCTGGTGCCGCTGAATCGACTCGCCGACAATTTTGCGATGATTTGAAATTCATCTTCGCCGAGTCTCGGCACAAGGCTTTTGTTTGAACTTGTGAAGTCGAATTTAACCCACAACAATGGCCTATTTCTTGATACGGGGAGTTTGGAATTCCCTTGTTTCGCAGAAATAATGATGAGCGATGCAGAGTTTTCGGGGTCTCTTGAATTGTTTTTTAATAGATATAAATTCCGTGAAATAAGCATTGTTAAGAGTGTTGGGGACTTCAGTGGTCCTGTAACTTTGGAAAGCTAACTGAGAATGGAAATATCAATATTGATTCATATCACATTTTCGTTTATTTCCAACTTTCACAAAATTAAATCTCTGTCCTTGACATTGCTTTTACCTCATTATGCGATTAATTCTTCTACTCTTAAAACATCTGTAAATAGGTTTGTCACTTAATTACTGGTGAATTTGAATCATTGAATCAGATTGGCAAGACGCAAGTGTCACGTGCTTGAATTTCAATAGGCAGTAAGTTCAAGGTACAATCATAAACGAACGTAAAAGACTGGGCAACGTTATTGAGACGGTTCTAGTTAAGACTTGAATTCTGTTATTAAACGGATCAGAAACTTCAACACTGTGGAACCGAAGGTGGCCAGAAGGCGAGCTATTGTAGCTGTTGGAGCATATTCGTTGATTATCTCCCATGTTCTCTTTAAAAACGACTCTTCTTCCTCGCTGGGG